ACATTATAGAGTTTGAAGGCATGGAAGACAACAAAATTGAGATTACCAAAATGGGAATACAGAAGACAAATCAAGAAAAGGGTCTGGGCATGGAACAGCTGTGGCAAGAAATTCTGGACGATGCCTCTTTATGGGATTTACAAAGTACATTGGTGAAAACTTTGAAGACTCCTCTTGAATGCCAAAGATTGATGAAAGATCAAATCCTATGATGCTGTTGGAATGATTTAAAGGTCGAGATTGTAAAGAGCAAAAAGAAGGAATATAAAGTTGGACTATTGGATCAGGAATAAACTATTTGTTTGACCTTTCTGGTAACTCCTAATGGACTTTTTGCTGAACCAGGACTGAAAAGATGACAATTTCTGGGTTGCGTATAGATAAAAATTAGGCTATGGGGAGAAGAGTTTTTTTATTTGTAATTTTAAAAGAGGGTGAAAAGTTACTATATTAGCTTATGCTCAGTGTGATGAAGTTGGAAGCCACTTCTTTGTTGTTGTCTTTGTTGCTTTTTTCCTTTTTTCTGCATCTTCTGAACTTTTCTTTTTCTTTTTTCTTCTAGTTTAGTTCGTATTAGTTTTTACTATGTTTATTAAAATTGTCAATGAAATTATTAAAAAGTAAAATAATAATATCGTTGGTTAAAAAAAAAAATTCTAAGTAAAGCTTGAAGCTTAAAACGTTTTTTAAACTAGGTATTTCAACTCACCCACATTATCAGGAAACATTTTACACTACATCACAGGAAAGGAATACGCTTTCGCTGAGTTTATTAATTTAGGCGTTTCAAATCAAATCTCCACCAGTTTAGAAAAGGTATATTCAGTGCCTTAGCGTGTGCTTTATATTAAATGTTTCAAAGAGTTCATAACGAATTCTGTTTCTAGTAAATATAATATAATAAATATAAAAAATAAAAAAGTTCTAAAGTCCCAGGACTTGTGCCAGGGGTTCCCAAGGGAGTTCCAGATACTGTAGTCCGTTGGTGCTGTGAGGGTGAGAAAATGTTTTAGAAGGCGTGCTTTAGGGTAATCTATGAACAACCTCAGTAACAACATAGTAGTTCAGATAAAGGAAAAGATGGTCATGATTGTTCTGTGCAAAAGATCTTTCTTGTGTGGGATTGAGATTTCTCCATGATTAAATATGCAGATTAGAAGGCTGTTTACCAGGATGTGGTGGCTTTTTAAAATGTATTCTACCTTGGAATTCCTAGGAAGCTGAAACCAAATCCCAAATAAATATCAAATTGCAGAAGCTGAGCATCGTTGTGTCCCTGGATGAACTTAGGCCACCTTGTTTAAAGCCCCTTGGGACTGCCGTGTTCATCAGTGAGTGCCTTAGAAGTGAAGCAGCTTGTGACTCCCGCTGGGACTGTTTTTATCCCTCTCCTTGGGACAATGCATGATACCGAAATTTCAGAGGCATTCAGGGAGAAAGCAAGTCGAAGAATTAAGCATCTCAGAGGGTAAATATTTGTGTGAAATTTCCATCTTTACCCAAGGGCTACATTCTGTTGTGTACACACACATACAAACATGGCTGGTATCTTCTATGGTGTTTTAAAGATAACTGGGAAATTTTCATGAAAATAGAAGCCATTTTGTATGAGAAGACTGATGCAATGGCAGTTTTTTTTTCTTTTCAAGGCAAACAATTGTTTCCAATCATTCTCTTCAGATAAATTTAGCATGGTTCTCTTGTGAATTCCAGCCTGGGAGCAAGCTATACAACCATTTGCTGAGATGTCTCTTCTGAGCGTAAGCTGTTAACCTGAACAACAAAGCTAAGCCCTGGAACTGAAAGAACAAGCTTTAAATGATTCCTATGAATGTTGTCTTATAGTCTCTATAAAGACTCCATAAAATTTAAGCAAACCTGACTGTAACAGGAGAGAGACATACATGAGAAACGTCCAGAACACGGCCACACAGCCCGGAAGACCCACACCAGCCATACATGAGGAAGGTTTGCTGGATTCACATTGTCATGGAGAATTCAGAAGCACAGAGCACAACACTGAGGAGAAGGAACCATCTTTATTGTTGGGTGCCTGCTTTACTACAAGGTTCCTTGACCTTGCTTGCTGGGGAATTCTGGAAGTTGAAGTCCACCTGTCTTAAAGTTGCCAAGGTCGAGGAACCCTGCTTTACAAGAAAGAGGAACCCTGAACAATAGGAAAGCAAAGATTTTTATAGAAATTTGAGGGCTGCAGGGTGGGAAATCTTAGGGATCTGATTCGTTGGCAGCTTTTGGGGAATTTAAGCAGGTCCTTCTCCTTTTCCATGAGGTTATTTCCATGAGGTTAGGTGAAGCAGCCCTTTCAGGGGGGCAGCCGAGCTGGGGAACCCCATTGTTAAGGAGATGGAACCTTAAGGTACAGACCCCTGGGGCTTCACCATGTTGCAATTCCTTTGTTAAGGCTGCCCTTGGGCTGTACTGTGAGCTGGTGAGGAGGCACCTATTCTTGGTTTAGATAGGATTACAACGGGCTTTGTCTGGGGGCAGGGAGGGTCAATTTGGGTCTGATAGGATTAGGCAAATAGAGGAGCTGGATTTGATCCTGGTTCATGTCCAAAAGACAGGGAGGAAACAGGGTGCAGCCTCCATTTTATATGCTACATTTATTTTTTCCACCACACGCATCTCACTGTACAGTGAGGAACATGGCAGTACAGGAAGAATATGGCCCAGAAAGTATAAGAATCGTAATTGTGTGCCAATAATCCATGACTTGAATATAGTTGTTTAAAATGCAAGCTGAAGCATAGTGACTTTGGAGTGATTCTAGAAATCTAGTTTTGATTCTCATCTTCATGATATGGGTGGTCTTCTGTCCATCCCGGGTCCTCTCGGAGAATTTGGAGATGAGAATATTAACCTACCTAGGGGTAGCTGTGAGGTTATAAAAAGACAGTTTATGTGAAGATCATAGTACTTGTCATAAACTTCATGTAGCATTTTGGTTGTGTGTGTGTGTGTGTGTGTGTGTTTATCCTTTTTGAAAGACTGGTAAGACTCTGCCTAAAAATAGCCCAGCTGATAGGTTGAGGGGACAGAGGAGGGGTGTGGAGTGAAGTACCCAGTTGTCCTCCAGCCTGACATCCTGTCAGCTGGCTAGTTTTGGACAGAGGTTTGCCAGTCTTACAGAAGAGTGGTAGACAATTTTACTGTCCTTCCTGTAATTAAGACTAAAAAGGGAAATAACAAAACTTCTGTTAATTTCAACAGAGCTCCCAAATAATCCAAATCAGTAAGCGTTATCAGAAAATGCTGGTGCAGCACCCAGAAATATTCCTCAAAATATGGAAAATGGGATTAAAATAGAAAAAAAAAAATAGCACTGCCTCACTGCATCCATGTAAGATGTTCCTTTGCAGGATGACTGGCAGAGAGAATCAGGTGAAAGCAGATTTCCTGCTCACACCTGCTGAAATTCTTTAACTGTTCAGCGGTATAATGGTGCTCTAAACACCAATGTTTTCAGATATATAAGGACTCCATATAAGGCCCGAAACAAATGGTTATGGGATGTCTTCAAGCCAGATCAAATGGGACATGCAGATGATCTCGCAGATTAAATGGGGGAAGGCAGAAGCACGTACTACTTCACATGCAGCTACAACATGGTACTTCATTATGCAGAAAAAAATATCAGTGCCTCCTATGGCCACTGTTGGCAAGGGGCACTGTTGGAAAGAATTGCAGAAACCATGATCTGTATGCTTTCTCTGTCTTAGTTCCATTCCAAAACATGTGAATTTTTGGGTTTGGACATTCTGGCAGGGAACGTTTATAATCAAGAACACATTTGTAGGGGCAGCAAGCCCCAAAGAGAGGTGACAGAAAATTGAAATGTTTGTTTTTTCCTCTTTACCCTTTCTGGCTTCCAAGTCTTGAGCAAGACATTTCTGAAATATTTGTCCACAATTCTAAAGGCCAGCTGTGTGTGAAATTAAACCCTTCATTTTTATGAGCTACTCTACACTCCACTGGTTTGCTTCTGGCCATGTTTGATTCCCCAATTCTCCACAGTGCTTTCTTTGCCCTATAAATCACTACATTCCCTTTCCAACTTGATTCTGACAGACTTTGTGCTTTTCCCTTCAGGAAGCTACTTTGCCAGTCACTTCATCATGGGAGGTGAGAAGTTCGACTCTACACACCCTGAAGGCTACCTCTTTGGGGAGAACAGTGACCTCAACTTTCTTGGGAACAGACCTGTACCAGTAAGAAAACCTTTGCCTCGTGTTTATTATATAGCGTGTGTGCATGTGCACATATGCGTTTGGTTTGTAGCTGTGAAACAGCCACTTTAAGTTTGAAACAGGTTGTTCCAATGTGACTGGAAGTGCTTTGATGTTGTTCTGAATACATCAGAAGTGTTCTGAATTCACACTGTCCCCCTTTCAGGCTCAAAACAGGGCTGTTTCTAGCCCAGAACATGTTTGGAATGGTCTTAACATCCTGTTTCAAGCTCTGATTGTTTCAGATTCAAAACTTTTGCACAATCCTGGAATATACTGTTCCTTTTTGTTAATGGGAATATGGATGGAAGAATTTTAAAATTCTTTAAAAAAATTTTAAATGTGCAACTGCTGATAGAAAGTTAGTGGGTACTAAGGATGTGGCCTGTTTAGAGGAACAAATGTTTGTCAAAAGAAGTGAAACTGGCTGTGTATAAGAGTGTGCTTCTGGTTACTTTGTTGTATGGCATTTGGTAGCTAGATATGTCTGACGAAACCTAAATGTATGTTGAATGCATGGGAATGGGCTACTTTGGATACATATATGATAAAAAAAAGAAGAGATAGGGCCAAGAATGAATGGATGCTGAATGAATGTAATGTAAGCTGAATACAAAAGTGAACAACCAGTATGAAAGAAGTATATTGAGGTAGTTTGGTCATATAGAAAGGATGAAGGAGAATTTGACTATAAAACTTATATGAAGGAAGAATGAATGGGTTGAAAGAAGGGGGAAGATTGAGAAAATCATAGCTGGATGAATTGGAGGAGGGGACTCGGGGTTATACACAAAGCCTTGGGACCCCCATGACTTTATAGAATCTGAGTGCCTTTATTTATCCAGTTTAGGGCCAGTTTGGCGTAGTGGTTAAGGCATCAGGCTAGAAACCATGAGACTGTGAGTTCTAGTCCCATCTTAGGCAAGAAGCCAGCTGGGTGACCTTGGGCCAGTCACTCTCTCTCAGCCCTAAGAAGGAGTCAGTGGCAAACAACTTCTGAAAAGCCTTGCCAAGAAAAATTCAGGGACTTGCCCATGTAGTTGCCAGGAGTCAAAAACTGACGAAGTTACACACTCACAAAGGAGGTGCCAAGCAGTTTGGTGTTGCCTACATCACGGTTATAAACTCCTCAGTGTAAATACAGGTAGTCCTCATTCATCAACCACAATTGGGACTGGCAACTTGGTCATTAAGCGAAGTGGTCACTAAGTGGAACAGGAACTGTGCTTATGATCTTACTTCAGCTTTCCTTTGCTTTATAGACCTGTGAAGGTGGTAAATGCAATGACTGGTCATAAAGTTACTTTTTCATCACCATCGTAACTGCGAACAGTCATTAAACGAGACAGTCACTAAACAAGAACTGCCTGTATATGTGATGTAGGCTCTCCTCCTCACCTTGCAAGAGAAGCCAAATATTTTAACATGGAACACTCCAGAGAAGCAATTTTCCCCCTTATCCTCATCTTCCATCATTCCTTTGTAGATTCTCTGTATCTGGATTTGTTGGTTTAAAGAACGTCAAGGAGAGTCCCTGATCCCATCCTCAAGATAAAGTTTGCTTGATTGCCAATTAGCTCCAGCAAAGCATTAAATGCCAGGCACTGTTGCAGACCTCTGGGATGTGCAAGATGTTAATTATGGATGGAAGGGCTTTTTCCCCTCCTCCTTCCCTGCTGCATTCAGAACAGTGTCCTTGGGGTGGAATAAAGAATGCAATATGAGTTTCTCCAGCGTCCTGAAGTGTTCTGTGTGAGATGGATGTGAAGGAGCTTTTCAATTCGGTAATAAGAAAAAGGGAAAAATAATAATTCAATGCCCAAGGAAGCTATGGGTATAGAAGGAAGGAAATATAATGGCATCATGCAGTCAAACATAAAGTATGCTGGGCCCACTTTGATGTCTCTGATCATGGTCAACATCGATATCAGAGAAAGAACAATGGTATATTTTCATGATGGTCCATTACCTTCATCACTCATCTTAGATGATAAAGCATTTTATGAGGAGGTTATCCAAAGCTTCCTGACGTGCTCAAATCTTTTTAAATCCCTGTTTTTTAGGTCTGCTTTGCTTCCAGTGTGAGGAATTGGGGCATTCACTTTAAAAGCCTATTGTGGCAGTAATTCATAATACTTTTCTATAGCACTGTCATGTTCAAAGTGCTTTATCATCATACTCCCTCAAAACAACCTATTGGTATACCCTGCGTTGCAGAAGGGAGAAACTCAAGCTGAGAGGGTGTGACTTGAGAGGATTACTGTCAGCCTAACCCAGTAGACCAGACAGGAAACACGACCAGATCAGCTAATTCTATTTTATTTTAAGGTTACATTAACAGAATCTTGCAAGTCTGAAAGTACAATTCTCTTCCCATCTCCTTTACCTCTGAAAAATTAGGGAGGGTCTCTTCTGAGCCTCTTGCCCTACCTACTATCCAGCTGTGGCCTTTGCTGTCTCTTATCTGGCCATTTGTTCCCTAGGCAGTGTCTCTGGGCCCAGTCTGCCAAGGTCATTCCCACATACCTTGTGAGATCATGACAGAGGCAGCCAGGATCAGTAATGTGGCCAGCTCTCTCTGCAGGATTGGACTGGACTGTTAGGGGCACCCATCTTGATTTTCCAATTTCAGACTCCAATGAACCTTGATGAATGTTCCAGCAGGATTGGCAAAGGATTGTGGGAGGGAGAAATGAATACAAGTCTAGTTGTCATGCCATGGACATCCCTCATTATAGTCTTCTGTAGTCTGAAAGGTCCAAGAACCAGGGTTCATAAGAAATTGAGATTGATTGCAGCCTGATGTGAACTAGGTTCTTGGAAAGATTGATCTGACCACATGTATCTCTGAGCCTTGTGGTATTCAGGGATTGGTTCATTGGGCAGAGGAAATATTTGAAACCTGTTTGAGAGAATTGGGCAGTGTCCACAGCCCTTGAAAAAGATGGTGACCTTGAGTTTTGTGGTAACTGTGATCCAGTCACAATTACTCTCTTTGAAGAGATGCTTCTGGAGGTAGTGGCAGCTGAGCACTCCAGGAACACTTACAGGTAGTAGACCATTGTAACTTATTTCAATCCACCTTCAGGCCAATTTTTGGCATCAAAATAGCTTTTTTACCCTAAACAATTGTGGGTTTTTCCTCCTAGGAAATATAGGATATGTATGTCCATATTGATTCTCCTGGATTTCCCAGCGGTTTTTAACATAGCCCACCATGATATCCTTCTGGAATAGGAGTAAATATTGTAGGGGCAGAATGGAATTACCTACAGAATCATGAAGCTACATTTGTTTGTCTAACGTATTTATTAGATTTATATCCTGCTTTTATTTTGTACTGTTCAAGGCAGCATATATAATGCTCCCTCTTCCAGAAATCGAGGGAGTTGGACTGAGGTATAACATATGTGCCAATACCATCCTCCTCTCTTTCTCCTTGTTTGAGCCAAATAACCCAGTGTTTCTCGATTGATGCTATGTAGAAGCAGTCTAGCGAGGTGCAGGCATTCTTGCCAAGTATAGCAGAATGAGAGGGAAGGGTTTCAAACTGGTTGGAAGAGATTGCAACATTTCAGATTCTGAGAGAGAGAAGGAGAAAGCTGGTTCTTAAAGCTCTTGTCCTTGTGAAGGGAAAAATTAATATGATTGATTAGTCAGCAGAGAAGACCCAACATACACGAAGCTCCATGTATTAGCATTACGCATTAACATATAAGCATTAGCTGTACAGATTGGATGTTTCAGGCTTTTGATAACTTAGTCTGCCTGGGTGTTTTTCTTGCCCTTCTTTGGCTAAAACCTGACTTCTACAATACTTTGAAAGCTACCTTTCATTTCTGCCCTAGGAGCTCTGTTGAATCCTCCATGTGAGAAACAAAGACTTGGATTTTTTGAACAAGAGACAGCTATGACTTTGCCTGGGGAAAACAGAGCAAGTTCTACAGGAAACCTATCTTTCTGGGATCATCAAGGCTTCTCTGAAAATAGTTTGTGGCTTCTCTTTTTTGCCTTATAGGTGTTTCCACAGTTTTTGGCCACCTAATAAAATGCAGTGGTACTCAGTCAATCAAAACCTCCTCTCACTATTTTTGTCTTTATGATGAGCCTGGGAGTCATAGTTCAAGGTGTATGTCTTATCATCCTCTTCATTATTCTTTTTCAACTATTTTTTGTTGCAAAATTTTAATCCAAAATTAACCATTTCTTTACCACTTGGATTATTTTATCAACCCAGGCCTTGATAACTCTTAGCACAAACTTGCTGCTCAAGAACATTCTTTAATAGAAAAAGAGTTCTATTAAAGAGGTCTCCTAAAGGGCTGGAGGCAAGAAGGTCTCCAGCCTAATCAGACCCCCTTCAGTGTCACATGTCCACTTTCCTTTGGGGGTGGTTTGTGCAAGGTCATGGTTCCACTTAGCGTAGCACATGTGGATTTACAGTTGATAATTGTGATTGAGATTTGCTCACAATGGTCAGATTTCTGAATTCTAATACTCATTTTGTTCCTTGTATTATTACTTTAGTGAAACAGGTTTTAGCTAGGGATTCATCGTCCTGGATCAGCTGACTGGTGCTGACTATGGGGAGGCAGCGGCTGAGATGGTGAATATGGCTCTGGTCTGGCCAGATAACTGGCAGCGAACACGGGGAGACCCAATATGGCCCAGACTACAGTTTGAGCATCACTGACTTGTGGTCTGTTGGAAAATATTCCCAGAGAAACAGTCAACAAACTGAAGAGAGTTAACAAGTGCTCCTTTGTTCCATAAAAGAAGATAATTGCTGGGCACATCTCCAGGGTAGAAACAAGAAAAAAGTATCTTTGTTTTCAGTACTCATACTCACTGAAGTGATTTTCACATAAATTAGTAAAAATAGCCAAGCAAGGTTACACCGTAAACATGTGCACATTTGTTTTTCAAGAAGATTCCTTACACCTTCATAAACATTGTTACCTTGAGAGCAGATAAGACCTGGT